GCCAGGGCTGTGCTCCCAGCTCCTGCTAGGAGCGCAGCCCTGGTTCTCACCTGTCTCCCATCACCTTGCTGCTGGCTTTGAAACTCGAAACATTTTGACTAGCCTCGTTTTGTTTCAAGGCTGTTTTGAAGCCCTTTGTTTCGATTCAATTTTGCTGTTTCGAGCTCAAAATGAGTCAAAACAGTGTTGAATTGAAACAGCCAGCGAAATTTCACAGGGCCCTATTAGTTAGCCGTGTCAGTTTGAAAGTCAGGCAAAAAAAGGGGTAGTGATGCACTTTTAAGACTAACTAAATTAGACATGCATAAACTTTCCATAAGCAACAGCTTACCTGATCAGATGCTATGTTCTGAAGGGAGCTGCTGCTTATGAAATTCTGTAAAGGTGCACCTCTACCTTGTATTCTACCTAATCCACTGTGATAGCCTAAACAGACTGAGCCCTAAGATTTTCACCAAAATGCATTATTTTCTGATTATCATCATCAACATCATGGCTCCTCTCTAAATCTCTCCACTATTTCAAGAGCTGGACATAGTGTTTTAATGCGGTTTGCACTAATACCACATACAGAGATTGTGGCAGAGCACCAGCAGGGTGCTTGCTACTCAGGGACATTGCAAGCTCTGTGGGAGCTTGCCAGCTGAGCAGCTGGGAAAGCCCTTCCCAGGAACCATTTTAAGGAAGGTGGCTGTCAGAACACTCATGGTGCTCTGCCACTTTAAGAACTGGGCTAGCAGGCAGGTGTGGCCCAGTCCTGATAAGCAACCATCTTAAGCCCCAGGCCAGCAGGGCTGGAGGCAGCAGTTCCTGCCTGGTGCTGAGGAAGGAACATCTCCTGGTGGATCTGGTGCTCCAGAGACAACACGGAGGTAAGGGCAGGAGCTATGGGGTGGCTTGGAGGCTCCTGGTCCTAGGCATGACCTAAAACTGCACCCTGCTGGGACAGGGAGGCCTAGTGGTCCTGCCAGTGGCGCGGCAGAGCCAGCAAATGCCAGGTTCGAGGACCATCCTGGTGCAAGGCAGGTTGGGCTGCCTTAATAACCCCTGCCCCCACCATCTGGATGGTCACTAGTAACAGTGAAGGGAGTTAGAGCCAGCCATATCCAGGTAGGACACCTGAGCCCAATGAGGCGCAAGGCCCGAAGTTGGCACCTGAGCCCGTTTGGGGTGCAAGACCCCAATAAGAGGGAGATGGGAGCCAGGTGTGCCCATGGGTGGCACCTTCGCCCTTTAGGGTGCAAGACCCTGGGAGAGAAGGAGAGGTGTGGGTCAGGCACACCACCAAGGGGCACCTGAGCCTGAGGGAGAGTTTGGTCCCGGGCCCCAGAGAAGGGGGCAGAGTACTGAGTTGAGGCCCTGTTAACTTGGGGGATCAAATTTAGCCCAGGTAACCCTTTGGGCGCCTGAGGCCATAGGTGGGCCTGAGGCCAGCTGGAGGGCAGCAATGGAGAAGCCATGGAGAAATAAGGGGGAAAGTCAGCAGCCCCAGATGGAGAACAGCTGGGGGGAGTCACCCAACTATGAGACAGGGGCAGAGTCCGCACAGTATTTTGCGAACTGCCCAACACTCGCTCGGATGAGGGTAGCGGGAGATGCTCAAAAGGCCACATACTTGCTGGCCGGGGAGCAAAGGGAATCAAGCCCAAGGACCTTCCGGCTGTGGGCAGGGTGAGTGTAGCCCTGAAGAAACGGAGGGGCAACATAAAGAGAAGCTCAGCAGGAGCGCCATGACAGAGACCATGTGAGAGGCAGTGGAGTGAGAGAGGGTGGTGGTGGGAGTGTGGCCTGTAACAGGGCACGTTGTGAGAGGCCTAATCCTATGAGTTGGGCCCAGCCTCAGGCCAGAGATTTGCATGATTGTTAGAAACATCTGTGAGGCATGGGACATCTAAGGGGAGGTGGGAGCATGTACTAAAGGCCCTAGACACCAGGGCCCAGAATGGGCAGCCTCCTGCTCATTTAAGATCTTGATTACTTAACAGCAAGACATGGCAGGAAAGATAAGAGGGCGGCGTAGCCAAAAGCAGTAGGACACCAGCACTGTGGCTGGTTGGGGAGCAACCACATTCACCACAGAGATAAAAAAAATAAGTTCTCTACTTCTTCATATTCCCTTGCTTATAAGTTTATGAACTGCACTGGCCTTTTCAGCCACGTTGGGTCACAATGGGAGTTCACATTTAGCTGATTATGCATCGTGATGGAATTCCACACCCTCCCCCCAATCTTCTTCAGAGAATCACTGATTCCTCAGATAGAACTGCCCAATAGTAAGTCTGTTTTTAGTTACTACTATGTTTGTTCAGATTTGGATATCTGAAACATACAGTTTGCTCCTGCCCAAACTACCAACAAAGTCTAAAATGTCTCTTATCAGTGATCTGTCTTCTTCATTCTTTATCACTTCCCAAATCTTTCAGTCATCAATAATCATGTTATCTTCCACAACACTGTTAAACATGTTAAATAGTTAAGGGAAAAAACTATCCCCGGTGGACTGTAACTAGAAACGCACTTGCTTGATCATGACTTCCCTACTTACAATTCTACCTCTGGGCCAACCAGCAAGTTTTTAATCCATGTAATGGACGCTACATGGATTTCTTAATTAACATGTTGGGTAGCAACAAGCCAAATGCTTTACAAAAGCCCAACTATGAGTTAACTAACCAAAGCTAGCAACTTAAAGGTATTAGTTAGTATAAGGAGATATAATTTCCGTAATTTAATACAAATGCTCCAAGAATATGGATTGATGACCCCCTTGAACAAATGTAAAAGAGTACTGATTTTTTTAAGCCCAAAACTCAATGATTATTCATCTTCAAACAAAGATTAAATAAATGCCCTACTGGGTCACATAACCAAGGCACACTGTGTAAGACTGTTCAAAATCTTCCCTTGAAAGGTAGAGGAAAGGAAGTTCTGAATGTTAGCCTTATTTTTAGCTACAACACATATGTATACTAGATTTATTTGGAAGCCTAAAACCAGTTTAGACACATATTCCCAAGATCCGCAAATTCCAAACGCCACTGATGATGAACCCTGAATAAAAGACAACTCCCAATGCCATACTACAGGAGTACCTCACCTGCCTGAAGATGGACCATATTTTATTGAACTTTACAGAAGGCTCCTGTGAACCCTGACACACAATTGTTGTCATCTCATATAAATGCAGTAGGTGTCATCAGTCTAAGGAAGAGGCAGCTAAACAGTAGTCAGCCACATTTTCTCTGCAATTTTTCAAACCTTGTATGTTAGGAGACAGAACTGCTTCCCTTTCCTAGTGTCTGAAGTGGCACTGAGAAAGACAGTAGGACTTGGGCTGTAAACACCTCACAAAAATGTCTTCACATTTTTTTTTTTTATTTAAAATTCATTACATAGAATCAAAGATCTGAACACTAATGCTAAAACACAGACCATCCCAGTTCTACCAATTATTAAATACTAACAATACTTGAGAAATTTAGAACTCTACATTAATAACCAAGAACAAAAAGAGATGAAGAAAAAAATATGACCATTCGGCAAGTGTAAAACAAGAGATTGATTATGGGCGTGTTGCCTTTTATAGCTGTGGCCAGAAGCCTTCTAATTCTAGAACAGCAGAGATGTAATAGTTTTATTACTACTAACATTTTTCATTTTTGAAAAAGCAGGGCATGCAACTCCTAGTGAAATTTTGCAGGCATTCATGTGAAAACATATACCAGATGGAGTATCAGACTGTTTTTACGGTACTGTACACAGATTATATTCATGATGTTCTGCATCCCATGACTCTAGAACTGACAGAAGCTGCATGCTTAATTGCTAGAACTATTCTTTAACTAATATAAGTCTGTTATACCCGATCTAGAACTACTTTCCTAAATCACATATAGCAAAGAGATACCAATACTTAAATAGTTTCTAATATAATAATTTCAACAGCATAATTAAAAATATACCATGTGACCCCTCAGGTAGACAATTTAGAGCAAAAAATGACCAAAAAGTACAGCAATAAGTCTCATACATGCATGTGCAAGAAAAACATTATGCTTCTTCAAAGTCATTTTTAATCCTTTTAAATCCCACATCACAACTGTGGAGGAAAAAAAAATGGTAAACAAAAGAATTATTAAATAAGGAAAACTAGGCTGGAACAAGTCTGTTGCATGACCCAGTGGGGAGGAGGAAATGGGAAGATGCGAGAGCTATTCACCCAGTTATCCTAGCTACTGTTTTTGGTATGTGAAATAAAATATTATTGATAAAGATAAGGGAAGAGAAATGTATGGTTGCCCCTCCCTGCCCACCTTTTGTTTATTTAAATGGCAGTGCATCCCTTAGGTCGTGCATGTCTGACTTAATCTTTTCTTGCTGAAAAATCCATAAGGGACATAAATTTGTATTATCCGTTAGCAGCTACCTACCCTCATATCAATTCAGTGGAAGCAGAGGAAAACTGACTGGCATAACATCTTTCCACGGATGACCTCAGGAATGGGCCCAATAGCCAGCCCAGCAATTAAATGCATCTGGGACTTTATGTTTAATTCTTCCTTGTCAACTAACATCCTGTAAGCCAGAGGAGAACATGTCCCTACTTAAATGTGAAGGGATCTCTTGGAGACTCTTTGAACATGTTCAGTGGGGTTCCAACATCATTCCCTAGAAAGGAATATTGCATTATAGCTCAGTGGAACCAAAACTCTATTTTTTAGAAGAGAGACTGGTTTATACAGAACACCTCATGAAGTATTCTATGGTTACCCAAAACAAAATATTTTACAAGAATTAATCTTAGCTTTCACTGCTGCTTTGGAAGGGCAGCAATGGAGGCTAATTTTGGCAGGCTAGAATTTTTAATGAACAAAAAGCCAGAAGTGTGGAGGTATTTTTAAGATAATTTATAGGAAATATGTACAATTTTTAGATGTACCAAATGTGGCCATAAGCAGCAATTTAAACCCATCTTGAAACATGTTTTAAATAGTATTTACCTCCACGCTTTTTGGGAGCCTCAGGTTTCATTTTAACGGTATTTCTGCTTCTAAATTCAGGCCCTTTAAAATCATCTTTGTCTTCATTCAGCACTGGCTCTGGTTGTACAACCACTGTACCTAGAATGATTTCATTTAAAAATTGGAAACCATTACACATCCAAGTGAAGTGCAAGAGTCCTGTTTAAATAAAAGCCAACATTGCACATATTTCTTTTTCCAAAATTACTATCTGATGACTAACTGATAATGCAGTTCCTAATATACAGGTGTCCATATCAAAAACACCAATACCACATACCTCAAAACTGGCACTTATTACAATTGCAGGGCAGAATGGGCCATGGAGAATTAACTACCCTCTACCCCAAGAACTGGTCCATGCAGAACAGAATGAAATCAGAAAGTCAAAATGGTGGAACCTAATAGGCAGATATGTTGCAGCTAAAGGACTTTCTTTAGGACAGCTGATTCTGAATGTATCAAAAGCCTTAGAAGTTACCACTCTTTGTCTTTTTTGAAAAGCAAAATATAAACAAATCTCATTTTCCCTTTTACAAAATTCTGATAATTGCCTAAAGTTTGAATTTAACCAGAGAACAATCTTAATGTTACAGGAAGAGAAATATGTTGTTTTATATAAAGAGTTTTAATACTTGGGTCTCCAGGATACTTTGTAGAAAATAAAATACTCTATGAATATAACCTCAAAATGACTTTCTTGTACAAGGACCTATAGTAATTAAAAAATTTTAAAAATCTTACAGGTAAAAAGGAAGGTCAAAAGAAAAGAAACTACAGTTAAGAATGAAAGACGGGGTGGGGGTTGTGTTTTGCTTGGGGTTTTTTTTGTTTGTTTTTAAATACAATACCTTACCCAAAATCCAATATGCCAATTTAAAGTGAATATAATTTTTTTTAAACAGTTCAAGAGTGGACTTTCCTTTTAATGCTCTCAAATATTTTAAAAGACAAAGGAGTAAAATTTGAAAAATTAAGAGTCTGCAAGTTAATCAAAAGCCAAAAGGTATAAGTACACAAACATGTTACTGCAAAAAAATAAAATAAAAATGAAGGAGAGGGTTTTTACAGTATGTCACCTGTTCCACAAGAACTATTTGGGTACACACTTTCACCTGCAGTACATAACTCATAGCAGTTTAGCCCTTCATGAAAGAAAGGTAGAGTCCCACAGCAGTAAAGAGTGTGCACACAATCACTTACCATGGAGCAGCTGACATGATTTATTGTTTATCCCAGGGATGGGCAATTATTTTGGACGGAGGGCCGCTTACCGAGTTTCGGGAAGCCATCGAGGGCCACATGACAGGCAGCTGGGGGTAGATAAGTATTCATTTTCTAAATTTTTTAGGGGCCCCGCGGGACAGATAGACTGGCCTGGCGGGCCACATCCGGCCCACGGGCTGCATTTTGCCCACCCCTGGTCTATCTCCATGCTCCAATAACTAGTTTGCATGCCCATGCCATACATTTTGTTCTTAAAAGCAACTTTAGCAGGGTTTGAAAACTTTACAAAAGAAAAAAAAAAAAAAGTGTCATGTCTCTTTCTGTAAAAAATATCGATATCAGTGGATGTTTGATATTAAGTAGTCAATGTACACTGGTCAATCCATAGATTTAAGTATTTGGGACTCAAAATTGATGGCAGACGTCTTTTAACCTTTTGAACAGTAAATCCTCAGTATAAGGTATTTTTAAAGTTGGTACTTGACAAAAAAAAAGAAAAACAAGTATGAAAAACAAGTGGTTCTTCTGAAGTATTTAGGCGCAGTCCATAATTATCTTGGAACTAATCTGTAGAATTTAGACAGATATTTAGAGAGAATAAAGGAACAGCATGAACTACCTTTTGGCAAGCTTTTCATGTCAACATCATTTTCTGAGTTTTCATTTGAAACATCTTCGTTTACAGTTTCATCTAAGGTTTGCTCATCATCTGATCCAACATATTTTGTCACCACAGTAGGCTTCCTGTACAGAAAAAAAAATCCCAAATTGTGATTAATATTATATTATATTATATATAGTAATATAGGACTACATAGCACTCTGCAGTCAAACCCAAGCTGTATGGAACAAGAACTTTGGAATTCTGTATTGTTTTTATTTTGGGTTTTTTTTGCCCCAAACCATAAACAAATCTTGAAGAATAAAATAGATCAAGCGCTCCACTACCTAGTCAGAGTGGCAAAAGATGGGCAAAGCCCCCATACCACTAAAGCCCCAGCTCACCAACTGAATCTGGCTTGTGAGCTGTAGGTTGCCAGCCCCTGACGTAGATCAACCCAACTCCACTAGCTTAAATGGATCTATGTCAATCTGTACTAGCCTGGCTTAGCATGCAAACTGTTTCTGTAGACCAATTTAGGAAGACCCCAAGATCACAGGAAGCATTGTGCGCGTTATTTTCAAACTGACCTTTTCGAACGTGACGATCCTAAAGATTTGGATCTTTCTGAAGAACTATTGCCCTAAAAGCAGGAAGAAAAATAATATTATTAAAAAAAAAGTCACAAATATCTAGTTGTGTGACCAGGTCATATATGTCAATAGAAATACAAAATGTTGGTATCATTTACAAATAAGAGCAACTTAAAATCATCTTCTGCCTTAAACCAATCATGTCTCATTCTTATTCTATACCACATTTTAACTACCAAGCATAGAAAAATAAATTTTATCAGTTTTGCTTAATATATACAATTTTAATTACCCTAGCACACTGGTGGTGTAACGGCATTTTGAGAAACACGGTTTAATATAGCGTTTCAACTTAAAACATTTAAAACGAGGTTTTAAAACTCAATATAAACATACAATATGTCAGAGTATACTAAGAAATATTACTGTGATTTAAGGCTTCTACAAAAACACTCTAATGGAATGAATTTGCATGAAATTGAGGCATTTTATTAATGAAAAAACGGTCCCTACATCAGTTTTTCTTTTCCTGCTGGGCTGTCGTCGTCAGTCAGTCCGGCCTGCAGTGACACTCATTTGGCCCATGCAGACTTGGCATGGCTCACTCTAAAGCTTATTAATGCTCCTGGGTCACCAAAGGGCTATTCAGGGTCTCCCAAGTCTTTAAGGAGTCCTCTCTTCAATGCATTCAAGGTTCTCGGGTGTGACTGGCCACATAGCAAAGCTACAGTCACGTATGCCTATTTGACTGGCTTTGCACTGCTGTGATGTACCTCAGAGAAGGGAAGTGAGAATTTCTGAGGTTATGTTCCCTGGTTTTTGGCATTATGGTCCGCTGAGTTAATCTGAGTCTTGCCCTAATGAACATATGGAATTTTGGACAATTGTGAAAGGCTCTGGAAAACTATCAATATGTAAGTGCCCTTAGTTTGCATTGATACTGCAGAGTTAGTGAAGTACCTGAGAAAGTGTAAACAGCATTTGGGCTTGAGTTTTATCTCAGGCTGGGCGAAATAGCTTGGGCATGAAGTACCACAATTCTCAACTGATAGGTTTTGGGTACAGACAAGAACTAGGTTAGAGCCCACATGGAAGTAAGAACCCAAGTTAGCTTTTCAAATAAGGCACTAGGCTTGGTAGTTATATATATGTTTAGTTGAAGTGTCAACCAAACTGCTTCTAAAAAGAATACAGATGCTAATAAAATATACCATGTGAAGATATACCAGTGTTTCCCAACCTTTTCCAGCCCAAGGCACACTTGCATTAATAAAAATTTTCTGTGGCACAGCTGTTAAGGCATTCCCCATCCTCATAGCTATTGTAGCTCATTGCCATGGCAAAATTCCGCAGGACACCTGTTCATTTCTGACGGCACACCATTGTGCCACCGCAGCACACTGGTTGGGAACCACTGACATATACTAATGTATTCAATAAAAATACTTTTTAAATTTTGCTTATGCATAACATTTCCTACATCTCTCATAATTCTTTTTAAAAACAGGTATATTTAAGTACTTACAGTTATTTGGATAAACTGCATCTAAGCATAAATAGGAGCCAGAGTTTAATTATTATTCACTTTTACTCAAATATAGCCTGTTTTCATGCAAATATCAAAGAAAGGTTAAGAATAAAAGTATAAACAAGCAGAACCTCAGTTTGCCATCCGTTTGACCGCAAAACTGGTAATTCTTCATTAAAAAATCTGCAGCATCTATCTTCCTAATTCTCAGGAAAAGCTTAGTAACGTTTTTTTTAACTTAGTACTAATAATAAAACTTTGCAAATTAAAGTAGATTAGAAAACGTATCATAAAAAATTATGAAGTGACAAAAATCTCAACTAAAATTGGCAAAAAAATACATTTTGTGATGCACTATTTTTATTTCTCACTGTAAAAGTGCAGTTCCTTCCTTCTTCATAAGCCACAATGAGAACATAAGAAAAGCCATTTTTTGGGTGAGACCATAGGTCCATCTTGCCCAGCATCCTGTGTCACACAGTGGCAGAAAGCAGATGCTGAAAGGGAGAGTGAACTTGGTTTGACCAGGGGGGTTTTCACCATTGTTCCGCTCTCACTTGCAGCCTCAAGCAGTTCCAGTCTAGGAAGTTTAATTTAGAGGCTGTATCCCTAACTCCCATGCTCAACATCTACTGATGCCCCTTTCCTCCAATAATTTTTCCCATCTCTTTTCTAAATCTAGGTAAACTATCACTTTCCACAACATCTAGTGACAATGAGTCCCACATTTTAATGACACTGCGTGAAAAAACTTCCTTTTGATAGTTTTAAATTTACTACCTACTAATTTAAGACCTTTAGTTCTTGTGTTGAGAAAAAGTAAATAATAAATCCCTATTTACTTTCTCTTCACCATTTAGTATTTTGTAAAGCCTTATCATGCCCCCCCAGCATCTCATCACTCATGTCAATTTGTAAAGTTCCCTTTTCTATTTTTGTAGTTTAATATGCTAAGTATAATTTGATATAAATTAGTCTAAATATAATCTCCGAGCACCTGATTTTTAAAGAAACAAATGAGTGTATCCAGTGCTTTTTATGCCAGTCACTTTCCTTCACATGCATTACTGAAAATTCAAATGTGTACACTTCATTCCTACCTCTTCCCTATTATTTTCCATTGGAGTTGGACTGTTTTCAGGCTCACTACTTTTATCTGTAGAGAAGAAAAAGTAGAATTCACTCAGTAGCAGAAATCGCTGACAATTATACATGATTGTTTGGAAAAAATGTTTTATCAGCATAACTGAAAAATGGGCATGAATTTTGTAACTAAACTTTTGCAGAATACTTATCATTTGTTGCTCATAAACTAGCAATTTTTACACGCACGTTTTTATGTATTTTTAAGAAGTTGTTGGAAATATTTTTCAACCTTTCTTCATTCACAAAGAAATAAAAAAAAAGAAGCCACATTAAATGCATATTTGCCTCAAAAAGTGGGAATAATTACATTTCTCAAATCTCTTAAATGATTTTAAATGGTTATTTCCCACAGAGAGGAGTATGATTATGGCCTTGCAATCTAGAGATCTTACTATATGCAACTAGAAATAAATACCCTCTCATTTGAAATTGGGGATTCTTTTTCCAGTTATACAGGCCTCCCATGTTTAGTCCCAATAGTCTGTGGAATCTTAAACTCTAAATGCTTTATTATTCCAAAACTGATTAACACCTGTTCTGAACTACTGGCTAGCGTAATTTTGAGAGTAATCCTATGGTACTGTTGCCAGAGAAAGGAAACATTTCCATTTTGGTGTTTTCTTTTTTTTCCCCACCAATTCTTGTTCAAGATTGCCCAAAGGTCTAGAATGTTAAAAGTAGGTCTCATAAAAATGGATTATTGGAATATATGAGACTGAGGTGATAGTAAGATGGAGAGGAATGTTATGTTTCATACAATTATTACACGTATTTAAACTAGGTGGGACTGACAACACTGCCTATTAAGGTTTCCCAGCATTCTTGAATATTATAAAAGCCTTAGTCCGTCTGTCCATAATGCTTTATTCGCACTCCCAATCAGAGTGCGAGCGCTTGGACAGGAGGTGGCAACTGTGCTGCCACGACAGTGGCAATGGAGCAGCAGCCTGAGGCAACAGCAGCAATGGACCCGGGGAGGGAAGGAGTGTCGAGGCTCTGGCCCTGACCCGAAGGGGGTTGGGGGGGGGGAGAGAATGGAAATCAGCCCTGGCCCAAGGCAGCAGGGGGCAGGCAGGGAGTAGCCCCAGCCTGAGGTGGGGGCAGGTGCAGGACTCTGTCCCTCCCTCCCCGCCTGCCCCCGCCCCTGATCATTCTTGACTGGCAATTTGCTATTTTTCCAGTATAAGAACCTATTTCCTTTGTTCATATCTTGGCACAACTTTAACTACTGAGCTAAAATATTCTATGGTGGAAATTTAGCATGGGCTGAATTTGTCTGGGAAAGTTTTAAACAAGTGATTCAGGCATTTCTGTGAATGATGCTAGCAAAAAAATACATTGTTTTGTCTGTGTGAAATTCTTGAAACTTTTTCTTTCAAATATTTTAGCATTCCTATGTTTTC